GGAGCTTTCATACCAGGGAGGGACTTAGTGCATAATGTGCTGGTTTGCCAAGAACTGGCTAGAGGTTACAAAAGGAAAGGGGTGTCTCCAAGGTGTATGATGAAGCTTGACATTAGGAAAGCTTACGACTCAGTAAGCTGGAAGGCCATGACCCAAATCTTGGAAGCCCTAAAATTTCCTCCTAAGTTTGTTGAATGGATTAGATTCTGCATTTCAAATACTGCATTCTCAATTCAACTTGATGGTGAGATAAATGGATATTTTAAGGGTGGGAGAGGACTGAGACAAGGAGATCCCATGTCCCCATTGCTATTTGTGATTATTATGGAGTATCTCACAAGGACATTTCAATATAATGCAGACCAAAAACGTTTCAAACACCATCCCATGTGTAAGTCATTGAATCTGATTAACTTGGTGTTTGCTGATGACCTGATTGTTGTGTGTAAAGCCGAGGAAGAGTCTATATCAGCAGTGCTACGAGCTTTGGAACATTTTAAAGAAGTGACAGGTCTAGGCATAAACTATGAGAAATCACAGATAGTGATGGGAGGAGTTAGTTTAGTGAATGAGAACAGATATCTGCAAATAACCAAAATGGTTAAAGGAGAATTTCCTTTCAGATACCTAGGATGTCCAATCACTGCTGCAAGGATAGGCCAAAGAGAGTGTGAAAGATGGGTTGAGAAGCTAACAACTAAAATAAACTCCTGGATGACAAAACACATGTCCTATGCAGGTAGGATAAAGCTGATCAACTCAGTCTTATTTGGGATAGTAGCGTTCTGGGCTAGAATGTTTATCATACCAAATAAGGTTATGAAAAAGATACATTATGCAGGAATTTCCTATGGGGAGCTTCACCTATGTATAGAAAATGCCCTCTTGTTGCGTGGGATGAAGTCTGCCAACCAAAGAGAAATGGGGGATTAGGTCTTATAAACCTAATCCACTGGAACAAAGCGTGTGCAATGCAACTGATATGGGATATAGCCAACAAAAAGGATATTTTGTGGGTAAGATGGATGCATCACAAGTATATCAAGAAGGGTTCAATCTGGCAATATGAAAGAACAGGGGACACTTGCTTTTACTGGAAAAAACTACTGAAGGTAAGGACTGAATTCAAAAACATGACCATGAAGGAGGAGTATAGTATCAAAGAAGGATATAAATGGCTCATGGGAGAGAAACCAAAGGTGAGTTGGGCTAATGCAGTGTGGAATAACTGGACCTAACCAAAACACCAGGTTATAGCCTGGCTGTCCTGGAAGGGGAGGTTACAAACAAAAAGAGGACTAAGTAAATTCCTACAGATTGACACAAAATGTGTTCTCTGTGGACAACATGAAGAAGATGTCAATCATATATTTTGCTCCTGTAAGTACACCACAATAATACACCAGGAGATAGCTGTTTGGATGGGTGTGAATATCCAGGTGCAGGAACTGAAGGAGATAGAGGAGATGCTGGCTAGATGCAAAAGCAAGGAGAGAAACCTGAGGGCTGCCACCTTCAACGCGTGTTGTTATGCAAATTGGAGAGTAAGAAACCAAATCATACATGGGAAGGAAGCAATGTCTACTGGGAAGTGTATTGATTATATAAAGTACCATGTAGCTATCTATATATTGCCCAAAAATAGGTAGTCTAATTGTATGGGAAGTAGAGGTAATTGTTGTTTAGCAAAACTTTGTATGTTTGATTGTGGATTAATATTTGCACTCTGTTCAAAAAAAAAATTTAATAATAATGTCAAGGAAAAAAAACTTATATACAAAGAACATGGAAGAATTATATCCGTAACAAAAGATTCTTGTTCTTGATAAACTCATGAGAGGCTATTGTGAAGGAAATGTGAAGGAAATTAAAATACAATACCATGCTTTTGCATTCACCTACATAAAAGAGAAGAGTAAATGAAAAAAAATGAGTAATGGTACTTATTTCATAAAATTAGTACATAAAACAAAAAAAAATGATACTCCGTAACAAATGACTTTATTTAAGTCAGTATAATCAATAGCACTCTTCCCGAGAAAAATAAAATAAACGGCAAGTCTCCAAAAATCTACACAACCAAGAAGATTTGAGGTAAATATTTTTCAATTTTTCCAACTTTCTCCAAGTCTTTCAAGTTTCTTTCAACTTTTTTCAATTTCTTCCAATATCCATCTCTGAAATTTCAATCCAAATGAACAAAGCCTAATTCACGCATTAATGAAAATTAATTATAATCTCCGGTGCAGAACACATGCAAGCCCAAAGCCATTACTTATGCTCTCTATTAATTATGCTCTTTGGAATCCAAACCCATTCAATTATGCTTAGGAAGATAAAAGGACAGCCGCATGATTGCATTTGCAAATTACCCATGCGCATCAAATCTTGTCCGTAGATATATATCAAGAGCATCCAATCAATGGCTTGGAATAAATTACCCTATATGTTTTTTCCCCTTTTTTTTGAAAAGTGAATTCTTTTGCTTTTGTATATAGTATATATAAGTGTATATATAGTATATATATATATATATATAAGAATAGATGTGTCCTTAATATAATGTATTTCTATCTTAACAAAAAAATTGATAGCATAGGCTAAACACTTAAACGTAACCTCAATTAACAGCACTGATCCTGTTTTCAAAATAAACCTACACTTGTTTTAAGCTACAACGTCAATCAACATAGTAAACCTGTGAAAGTCGCCATTGAAAAGAAAACTAGAGGATGGCACCACAAGTGTTCAGCTAGAAACAATACACCCTTCAAAACCCTTTAAAAACTTCAATGTCTTTATTGCAACAGTATCATCATCTTACTTCTCTGCGCCTAAAACAAAAACGTTTCAAACAAAACAGAATCAACAATTAAGCCGGTGATAGTGATGATATATACTACCTTTGTTTTGGAGTATTTGTCCAGTTTTGAATTTTTGCAATCAACCATTTTCGACCTTTGACTTCGAATTAAATAGAAGTGGTGTGGTATATTAGTTACATAAAATAATATTTTGAAAATATTGTATAAAATAAATCTAATAAAATTATTTTTCGTATCAATACCTAATACCAATTTTATTTAATTACTGGTCAAAGTTTGTCAATTTTGACTGAAAAGAGTAAAAATTGGACAATTACTTAGGGATAGAGGTAGTAGGAAATAGGGAGCAGGTGAAAGACTATTTGTTTTTGTCTCTTGCTAAGCGAGAAAAGGATATAAGGAGCAAAGAACCTGAAAGAGCACCGATGACAAGTTGCAGAAACTAAGTTGATGAAGAAGCAGAGTGATGATTTACAACCAATGGGGGACGCAAGGCTCGGTGGTTGGCTTCTTTCTCCTTTCGTGCCTTGTACATCTCTTCTGTCTCAACAACCACCAACCTTTTCACCTAAATGTAAATGAACAACCATTTAATTTGGTGTTAATTAATGTTAAAAAGAAACGGCCCATTAATTTTGTAGAGATGTGATATGACAAAATATCACACAAAAGAGAATATAGAACAATGATAATAAGAATGGGGACCACACGACCTGCTGAACCATTCCTCGGACTGTAGGGGTATTCCACCGCATCACAGTACGGTTGCATTTCCGAAGGCGCAATGCTTCTAAGGTACGCCTATGGAGCCTCCTAGTACCTGGGATACCTCTTACAAGGGTTATGTACAAATTCGAGCTCCATGCAACCGGGGCACAAGCTTTAAAAGCATTGTAAGCACTCATCCCTTCCTTTACTGCTTAAATCCTCCCTGGAGTACAACTGGTAGGGAAAAACCTGTTTACCAAAGCTTAGCAGTGAACTTGAAAAGCAATGTATTTGAGGTGCTAAAAATGATGCTACATGTGAAGCCACATGCATATGTACAAATTTATATGCGGAAAAGGACAAGTGTGTCACAGAAGGGGGGAAACCACTCTTTGTGAAATCTTCAAAAAACACAATGAGATCCTATCACCTTAATAATACAGAGTAAGTGATAACATTATAGCAAGAAACCATAGATTTGAAAGATTTTAAGCCAAGCAGAGTTGTGTTTTAAAAACCTTCACAGGGGGGCTTCCGGGCTTGGTGAAGATGAATGTAATTTACTTATAATGGCAATCAAATTTCTCAAAGGTGATTCTAAAGCTAACTTTGACATCATTCTTGCATAATCCCCTCTGAAATTTACCCCCCTTGCAAATTCTTTTCCCAAAAGAAAATTCAGAGTGACCTAAGACAACTGAAGAACAAGAGAGTTTGTCATTTTCGAATTTTTGAGGAAGGTCACTAACAACTTGAACTAATGAAGAGATAATTCTGAAGATAAATATCACCAAGCCATATGATCCTTTGCCACGAAAACCCAATAGAATCAACCTCTTCAGACAAATCTATCTATACATGACAATGCTGTTTTGTTTGCCAAATTTCCAGCCAAAACAAAAGGTAACAAAAATATGTATAGGCTGTGTGGTAAAGAAGCACCCATGCAGATTCCTGAAATATCACTCAAATGTTCATAAGTTGCTTCCATTTTGACTCATTTTTGTTTCTCTAAAAGTAACACGGGAGTCCTGAAAAGCAATAACATAATGATAGCTGTTTTGAGGTTCCCAGCAACAAAACCCCAACTTTTTAGAATTCTATCCCATCCAAAAGAATAGAAGGGTAAAATCAGCTCCTGGACTCACTCTATAAGTTGAACTTAAAGTGTCCTTTTTCACAGCAGGAATTCACTATCTATTCATAAATACTTCATTCTGCTATGATATTTAGAGAATCTTCAATTCTAGTTGATGTTTCATGGCCCCACCATGTTCCTTTGAGAAAGATTTTCTTCATTCAATCTAGAAGTTAATTTTTTAAAAGCAAGAAAGGATGTATGTAAATGTGTAATTTCTACTATCCATAAACATATGTTGAATGAGCTATGCTTAACAAATTAAGATATTTAAAGATTTTGTAAAAGCTTGAGAAGTCAACTGCAAAAGGGGCAGCAAAGAATGAAAACAATAAGATCATAATGTCTGTTACCCAAAAAAAACAATCATAATGTTTTAAAACCATTTTAAATAGTTAGATTGCTTTATTGAATTAATGTTAGTTCAATTTAATCTCATTATAACACCAATATTAAGATAATCCTAACTCCTAATCTTGCTAAATAAATATGCTACGCACCTACACTAACATCATTTACGATTATGGAGCTCGCAACAAACCAATTTCCCAACATAACATAGCTAATGATTGTGGAGCAAAATTAAAAAAAAAAATAGTAAAAAAATCTATAGATAAGTTTCATAACATATCAAATTGCTAAATTAACAAATAAAAGCCGGATGCCCATGCAGAAAGCAGCCCGTTATCTGGTTTAGGTCATTTCAGTATAACACAATTCTCAAAAACCAATCTTATTTATAATAGTGAATTTTGATTGCCAATTTTCACCTCCACAACTAACAGAAGACAAAGCACATTTGCACAAAAACAAGGGCATGTGGGGCCATTGCATTGACATTCTTAGTGTGTAACAATCATTTTTTAATTTGTTTTAACTTTTAGTCCTATGTTGTTTTCACAAAATTTCGGTTTGGATTTTCCTAAAATCAAAGACATAATAGAAGGTAAATTGGCGATTCGGTTAAGTTTTGCATAAAAAAGAGTATCTCATTGGTTATTCGGTTTGTTTTTTTGTGGTTCACACATCGGTTTTTTTGTTCGGTTTGAAAAATATTTGTTGCCACTTGCCAAGTACTTTTCTTTTGTCAAATGAAAAAGGGAAGAAATGGCAGCAAATAAGTTGTGTGTAAGATTATAACCTCCTAGTTTTTGTGCCTCGACATGTATATGTATAGGAAGTGTAGTTTTCTCCAAAGGCTCTAAACCATACACACACACACACACACACACGCAGATATATATCACATCACCATTCACAAAACTAAGAGGATGTAGTGTTATACATCAACATATGATATAATGATATACACACAACCTCAGGTACAATACAAAGGATGCTATTAGCCAAACCACAAATATAAAGAACAAATGTTCTAGGCATTGAAAAATGCAAAACTGCCTAATGGATACACCACATGGATTCAGACCGACCCATCCAATGATGAATCCCTTTCCAAATTATTTTGTGATGTGATCCAGAACTGCTTTAAGAGCCACATATTTCTTTCTCAAATTTTCATCACTTGAGTCACTCTCATCTGACTTTGATTTCTTTTTACTTAACAGAAGCAAGCAGCTATACAGCTTATAAACACCTTAACCAGGGCCGGTCATGAGAATTCAACGGCTTGGACCGAGATAAAAAAAGGCCCTAAATATAAAGTCTAGCAAATTAACATATCTAAACTAATTATATATAAATGATAATTAAAGTAATATTATTAGAAGAAAATAAATAAATGACCAAAGCATTTTTTATCCAGCTTGATACTTTCTCAATCTTCATCTCGATTTCTCTTTTTACGTTTTTGACTACCGGATAGATGTTTAGGACCTATAGCTATTGAATTATTTCTGAAATAAAATTCAAATTCATAAATTTTACTACTTAGTAAAATCAAATATGGAAAAGCAAGCAAATAAATTCATATATCATAAACTCATATCAATTGATTCAATTCGTCATTTTTTCAGTTTTTTTCTTTTTCAGTTTTCAGTCTTTATATATATATATATATCTTAAATTCATGTCAATTTATCAAATTTTCAGTTTTTTTTAGTTTTTCAGTTTTCAGTTTTTTTATATATATATCATAAATTGAAATCAATTCATCCAAATCAAATAAAGAATATATGGAACCATTAATTCATTCATTTTTCATAGAAATTAGCAAAGATTTCAAACTTAAAATTAATAATTAACCCTAGATTTTAAATCCAACGAATGAAGCAATGAAAGAAAGAAAATTAGAAAAACAAATTACTAAATTGGAAAGATAGTGATTACGGAACACCTAGAGGGTGCAGCAGCGTCTGGCGGCAGAAGCGGCGGCGTCTCTCTACCGGCGGCGTTCTCAGCAGGCGGCACTCTCTTTCCGATTCGGTTTCGGCAGTAGGCTTCGTCTCCAGCTTCTCCGCCTCGCGTTGGTTGTCTACGAAGTAGGAAGGGATGGGGCGGCTAATGAGATGGGCTTTTGACATATTGGGCTGGGTGCTGGGCTTCTTATATACATACATATACATTTGGCCCTTATGGGCCCGGTCTGACGGAGTTCAATCATGCGCCCGCTCCGGACAGATTATTTGTCCTCTATTAGGCCGGCCCTGACCTTAACGCCTTACGAAATTGACAGCATTTTCAGGAAAACCATGCTAGCTTTCTAGTCGTGAAATTGTCAAGGGTGATTGAAGTTTATACGGAAAATAAGAGAAACAAATCAAACTTATGATTTGATTGTAAGGGCCTGTTATTTAGGGCTTGAATTTTTAACTTCCAGTTTTTTTTAGTTCCTTCTAGTTCTTTTCAGTTTCTTCCAGTTTCTTTCCATTTCTTCCAGTTTTTCCAACTTTTTTCATTTTCTTCAAATTCTTTCTACTCCTCAACCAATTACTCTAAAAATGATATATTTCAATGTGATTATTATTATTATTATTATTACAACTGTTATATTCATAACTGTACTTTATAAATTATTTTTTTCATCTCACTATTTTTACGATTCACACTTATTATATTTTTTCTTCAACTTTTTAATATGAATAAGACATTTTTTGTATATTAGTCTTCATGATAAAACAGGAAAACACCAATATGTTAAATTATACTAAAAAATTATGGATAAAATAGTTACATTGAATGTTTTATTAATATAACTTTTTATAAGACGTCTCAGTTTTCCCTTTATTACTTAAAAATTCCTCATTTTTTTAATTTTTATAAAAAAAATTGTAAGTCAAAAGAACTTAGAGAAAAAAGACTAAAATATGAGTAAAACATAAAAAATTGTAAACAAAAAAGTTCTATGTCTTAAAAAATGTAAAAGTAGTTTTTTGTATTTAAAAAATAACAATACTTTTTTTATATCTTAAAGAAATTCACTAAGATAATGTGATAATGATGATGATTATGTTGATGATTATGATGATGATGATGATGATGATGATGATGATGATGATGATGATGATGATGATGATGATGATAATAATAATAATAATTTATAACAACAAGAATTTAAAATAAATATTTTTAAAGTTTTTTTAGATTTTTCAGTTTTTTCCATTTTCTTCCAGTTTCTTCCAGTTTTTTCCAGTTTCTTCCAGTTCCTTCCAATTTTTTCCAGTTCCTTCCGGTTCTTCCAGTTCTTTCGAGTTTCTTCCAGTTTTTTCCATTTTCTTCTAGTTCTTTCCAGTTTATTCCAACATCCAGCTCTTTTTTTATAGTCTTAAAAAACAGGCCCTAAGAAACTAAACATATGATTTCAATACACAAAATAAACTAAACATATGATTTCTGTCGCCTAAAGGCAGCCGGCGATTGTGGTCCTATACATTAGTCGGCCCAATAGTTTTTTTTAGGATAGTTTTTTGAAAAAATGCAAAGGCACACCATTTGGATCATGTTTTTTTTACTTAATCTAATTGGTTATGATTTGATTGAAATAAACTTTGATTTGATTTAGTGTAATAGTATCTGATCTGAATGTAGTTACATTTAAAGGTATTTCTTTAATCTGATCTAAATTTAGTAAGAATAAGTAAAAAAATAAGTTGTAAAGAACATGGCCTTGGTACACCCCAAATGTACCCAAAACATTTTGAACCACAAATATTTATTATTTTTTTTCTTACACTACAAATTGTGTGGTATACAATGTTTGGGGTACACCATTGATGTACCCGGTGTACCCCTAGCATTTGTTTTCTAGTTTTTTTTTTGGACAAAATGGTTATAACATTAGCCATATTTTACATCAACTTCATTTTTCACTTCATAAAAGAAACTTTTTGAATATTAAAAAAAATGTTGGGTGTAAGGTGTAATATTGGACCCGGTGTACACCAAGCGCAGTAAACTTTTTTAGTATGTGTAGGAATCTTTTAGCTTTTTTTTTTTTGACAAAGAGAACTCAATTGGTTTATAGCTAAAAAAGAGAACTCAAGGAACTCAATTGGTTTATAGCTAAAAAAGAACTCAATTGGAACAACGGTATGATCAGCAAGGAAACGAGGAAGAGGGAAAAAAGTTTTGGATATGAGTTCAAACCCCTTTTGGATATTCTTTATTTGTTTTCAGATTTTGATAAATGACAAATACAATGACGAATGAAAATTTTATTTTCGATTCGAGAAAGAAGAGAGGCGTATCAAGAATTTTTACAACGATTATTTTCAACGTTCCAATCCCTACGCAGAATTTTATGAAGTAAAGTGAAGATTCCGAAGAGTTTTTATTTTTATTGAGTCGTAGGAACATTTGTAAGCATGACAAATATTTTTCACTTAAACAAATTAATTTTTGAGCGTTAAACTATAATTTTTAGAGTCAGTTAAAAGATAAACTTTTCTCTCTCTAAAAATATTCTATTGGGTCAGTTACAAAAAGTGTCAAAATTTCTTAAAATATCTTTTTAAGATATACAAATTTTTATGGTTAAGAAAAATATATTTTTAAATATTTTTCGTGTACATCGTTTGACACATAAAATATTTTTGGGACTCATTTCTACACCAAAAATTTTCCTTCATTTATTCAAAAATTCATTTTGAATAATTCTTGTAAAGATGGGGAGCCTTACCCCTAATTTCAATGTCTCAAACAAACTCATAAGTCCAAAAATGCACTTCAACTCGTACACATGCCTTGGGCCCTTCATATTTGGACATTATTTTTCAGAGGATCGATCCACCTCTATGGATCGATCAACGTGTGCAGAGCAATTCTTCAGTGGATCGATCCACCTCTTTAGATCGATCACAATGTACCCAACATTTTCTTCATGGGATCGATCTAGGGGTGTGGTTCAATCAAACGAAGTTGTGCTCGAATTTTTCTAAAAATATTTTAAGTCCCGGTGATCGATCACAGGGCGTAGATCAATCACCAGAGGTTAAATCTATCAAAAAAAATTCTTTTCACTCTCCAACGGATTTATTTTTCTTAACCCTATAAAATCTCTCTTTCTCCTTCATTTCACTCACAATTTAAGCACTCAATTCTTTCCTCTCATTCATTTCATTCTTGCTCTATTCTTGATCTTCAAAATATTATTTTGAGAACTAGAAACATATTTTTATTGAGTGCAAAGATATTGTCATCCACTAGAGCTTTACATTTAAACATAACTTGCTCAATTGTGTGAGCCTTCATTCTCGTGTTGTTAAACTCAATTTTCTTTGCGTTTGTGAGTTATAAGACTTGTGTGATTCAAGTCTTGTTTTTTAAGAAGTTGAGGCTTGTGGGATTCAAGTTCTCAAGTTGTAATCGGTTTTTCAAGCACCCGTTGAAACTTGAGGTATAATAAGACATTTGAGAAAGTCTCTCAGAGGACTGGACTAGCCACGAGATGGTGAACCAGTATACATCGCGGTGTTCTTCTTTCCCTTTACTCTTTACATATTTCATGCAATTTCTCCCTTCGTTTATCACACACGCGAAAGGCTCTCATTCTAGAAAATAACTCTATTCACCCCTCCTCCCTCTAGAGTTGAACGTTTTGTCTAACAATTGACATCGGAGCAAGAAATTCTTCGAACACATCTAATTTTTCAGGAACTCAAAGATCAATGGCTTCTAGAATGTTCAATGGAGGAGTTAACGAGGGTTAATCCACCACGACTCCACGAGGCCACCGTTGTTTGATGGAACAAACTACTCGTATTGGAAGGAAAGGATGAGGATCTTCATTCAATCAACGACTATAAATTGTGGTTGATTGTGAAGAACGGCTGCAGCATTCCTATGAAAAAAGTCGGATAAATCGACTTTCCTAAACCCGAAGAGGAATACACCGACGAAGACTGCAAGAACATGGAGCTCAACTAGGGATGACAACGGGTTGGGTTCGGGTCGGATAGTACTATACCCAAACCCGACATGACTTTTAAACCCGAAACCCGACATTTTAAGCCAATAATCAATTTGACGTACCCAAATAATTGTAAGAGGATTAAATCTAATTTTTTTGTGTCTCTTTTTTTATTAAGGAATTATAAAAGGCATACTTGATATAGTAGCACTTTGTCAAGAGATTATACGAAGTGCTCATTATATCATAGATTGGCTTTTATGTTATAAAATATTCGGGTTTGAGTAGGGTCGGGTGCGGATTCGGGTCGGGTCGGGTAAAATTATGAACCCACACCCAACCCGATGTCGGGTTTGGGTAAAACAAATTTGGGTCGGGTTCGGATTATTTTATTCTTGATTCAAGTTTGGATATTTTAGTGTTTGGTCGGGTCGGTTAAGCTCGGGTTCGGGTTGAATTTCCATCCCTAAGCTCAACGCTAAAGCAATAAACATGATTTATTATGGCGTTAATGTGGATGACTACCGCAAGATATCGCGGTGTGAGACCGCAAAGCAAATGTGGGAGAAGTTGGAGATCACCTATGAAGGAACCGCTCAAATTAGAGAGGCAACGATCGACCAACTCACCCACGAGTACGAATTGTTTTCAATGAAGGAAAATGAGAAGATAGAGGATATGTTTGAGAGATTCTCAACACCATCAATCCTTTAAATCTTCTCGGGAAAGTCTACACCAACCGGAAACTAGTGAGAAAGGTGCTTTGGAGCTTGTTACTGAAGTGGAGTTCAAAGCTGGACGCTATCGAAGAAGGTCGTGACTTTCAAACGGCTACTTATGATTCTATCCGAGGTAATCTTATTGCCTATGAAACCACTCAACTATCTAAAGTGGTTGAAGAGAAGAGAAAGAGAATTATTGCTCTAGCTGCATCAATGTCAAACAACGACAACAACGTTGACGAAGATCATGATAGTGACGAAACCAACCTCGGGCTCTCTGTCCGAAGATTCAAGAACATGATGATGAAGAAGAGAGCCCAGAAGAACACTCCACCCAAATGCTATGGGTGTGGTGAAATACGACATATTAAGGCTCTGTTCCGTTCAACTTATTTTTTCTGATCTGATCTGATTTTGATAAGTTCTCATCTGATCTGATTGGATCTGATCTGATCTTATCTGGTCTGATCTGATTAATTATGATTTTATTTAAAATTAAAATCAATAATTTTAAAAGTAGAATTAGATTGACATTGTCAATGTATTTTAAAAATAATTTTTCCGACGTCTAATAATTAAGGATTACTTTCTCAGTTTTCTATTTAACTTGTTTCTAAATTTTATTCTTTTTCATTTTTAAGAACAATAATTATCATAATATTGATGATGATGATGATGATAAAAATAATAATAATTCTTCATGGGATCTGATCTGATCTAATTGGATCTGATTTGATCTGATTTACTTAGATCTGATCTGATCTGATTCGATCTGATTTGATCTGATCTGATCTGATTTTAATAACTATAAGAAAAAATAAGTTGAACGGAACGAGGCCTAACCGATGTGTTCTAAGCTCAAGAACGAGAAGGACAAGAAGCATTGTAACTAATGATCATTGATTATCTCCATCGATTTTGAGACCGATGGGAGATTCTAGTCATGCCTATTAATCTTGGTTTTCCCATGCACACTGTCAATAAACCACAAAAGTTCATAAGAGTGAAGTTTAAGATGTGGCAGATGTTGTTCTTCCTGACCGCACTCAAACTCACGAGGTATTTAAGCGAGGAGACTCCAAATGTTTGGGAGGACGAAGATGAGTATGTAACACCTCAATTCACATAACTCAGAAACATCAGTTAGCTGGTCAAATTGCATTGCTACTAAATTGGTATCGAAGCACATAATATTTTTCAAAGAATTTAAAGCATTCAACTTCAAAACATCATTTCAAAAACCATTAAAGTAAAACCAAACAATGTAGAAGCTTAAGTAATCTTTATATATAGATTTGAGAGTCAAATCGCTTAGAAGCTAACATGTGTCAAGCTTTAGATGACATGTGTCAAGCCTTAGAGATGACATGTGGCAAATTTAATACGAATTGATTTCTTTTTATTTTACTTCAAATATCACACATTTTCACTCCTTTTTTCAAAAATGATACTATGTAATTTCCTATTTCAAAATTCATAAATCTAAATTTTGTGTTTAAAATATTTTTATATGTGATATATTAATTATAATAAAATGTTATATTGTAACAACTATACGTGAATTTTTTTTAATTTTAATATTGGACTCTAATTTAATAAATCTTAAAATTTACAAAACATGTTTTGGTTGTATATATATTTTCTAATAAAAGAGCATAGTCACTTCAATTATTTATTACATGCAAATACATCAAAAGATCTAAGAGATTTAGATGTTTTATGGAATGGTTAATGAAAAGATACACATCATGATATTAGTTTCCTCATTATGGATAAATTTTAACCAAATATCATTTTCTAAAATAAAATAAGGATTGCATATCACCTAATTAAAGATAAAAAATTAATAAATAAAAGTACTACATTGTGTGTCTCAATATTTTTTATGAAAAATAATAATACGGAATACTGTATACTCCCTCCCTCCAACAATAAAGTTCTCGTTCACTATTCACAGGGTCAAACTTTATTCACTTTGTTGGCCTATTTTTGTGTCTTATTTGATAAAATAATATAGTCATGTCACTACTAGTTTTGTAAATCTTTTCATGTAGTTTTTAAATATGTAATTTGAATTTTTTAATTCCATACCATTTTTCATATAAAATGATTTGAAAACAATTTCAGTCAAACATCGTAACGCGCAATGAGAACTTTATTTGTGGACGGAGGGAGTAATTTTTTCCTAATAATTATAATTTTCTTGAATATATAATACAGAATACAAACAATGATTCTGCCAATATTCAAATTTTGTTATGAAATATTATATATGCACGTCAAGTTACCGGTTGTGTTTTAATAGTTAATTTATAGACTTTTGTTTTTTAAAAGAAATTATTTTTTTATTAAAAATATAAAATATTTTCTTATTCAAAATATAATTTTTAAAAAGATATAATTTCATCATATTTATCAGTAACAGTTTTTTGGGGGTCTTTATTTTATCGAAATATAATTTTTCATAGAGAAGAATATAATAGTAGAAATATAATAGAAAATCAAAATATAAGTTTGATATGTATATACAGAGTATTTATATTTTAAAATTCTGAATGACAAAATATAATTTTGAATAGAGTATTTTAGGATAAAATAATTAACATAAAGACACAATATTTGTATATTTATGTTTAAAATAGTCGCATAAGGAGTTATTTTGTGATTATTGACAATAATTTTACATTAAAAACTCTCAAAATTTGACATACGTAACCTAATTTATTTTTAATTTATTTTGTAGTGATATATTTTTGATACGATAGGAAAATTAAAACTAACATATATATTTTACTAAAATAGAAAGTTCAATGATATTTAACATGAAATTATAATTATTGATATTTTTCATAGAATTGGATTTTTTATTTATTATATAGAACTAAAACTAATATTTAAAATCTTTACATGGAAGTAACCTAATTAAAAATAATGTTTCCTTACATAATATTAAGAGTGAGAAATGAATAATGTTTCTTATTAAAAAGTTTATCTTAATGTTGTGGGTGTCCATCTTTATTTAATTAAAAAAACAAACATTATTTGAAAATTTATATTGGAAAGAAATGGGTACCTACATTCTCGATCAATGTTTGTTTAAACTTATCTAATTCAGATCTTTATTGATAAAAATCTATTTAATATCCATCCTCATTGATATAATATTTCTATAATAAAACATTATTTATGTTTATGGCAATTTACTAATAAAAAAGTCCTTTATTTCAAATGAACTATTACTTAAATAACATAAATAATATATAAGAAAAATTTTAAGACATGTAGAAAAATGTAATTATTAATATTTGTTGAAAGAATTTCATTCTTTATATACTTTATATTAAGGGATGAAGTAATATTAATGTTATAATTATTTCATGGCAGTAGTATTATTGTGGGTATATATGTTATTTGAATACATACAATCGAGATCGATTGTGGAGAATTTTTCTATTAATATGTTCTCTTTATTAAGAAGAGTGTCATTCCATATTTAATTAAAGAGATGAATATTTTTTTAAAATGTACCTAAAAAGATATTTTAATAATAACAATAATAATAGTTGAAATAAGAAGAATACGAAGAATAATATAAGTAATTTTTAAATCAATGTTGAAAAGAATCAAAAGGATTTTGAAGAAACTTATATGAATAGGAAAATACTTGAAGGAGTTGGAAATTTTGGAAGAATTGAAAAAACAATAAAAAGTTATATACAAAACGGAATGGTTGGAAAAATATTGGAAATTAAGGGTGCATTTGGTTGAGGTGGGATATGTTTTTTCTAGAAGGAAATGATTTTTTTAAGACTATATTCTCTTCAACTTATTATTACTTATAATTTTTCTTATTAAAATCAGATCAGATTAGATCAAATCAAAAATAATTTTAAATATAACTACATTCAAATGAGATCAGACCACATTAGATCAAAATTTATTTCAATCAGATCAGAACCATTCAGATGAGGTGAAGAGAACATGGCCTTACACAAAAAAATAATCTCCCCCCTCAGCCCCACATGTTTTATTATCTGGCAAGAATAAATTTTTTCCCTGAAAAATATTTTCTATTTTTAGTTAGGAAAAGATTTTTTTAAATGTGTACATCCTTGAATTTTGTGTTATTGCATATATTATAATGGTATGTAATATTAGTTTAATTCTACATTATTGATATTTGAATAAAAATAAAGATACTTTGAAATAATTTTAAAATATTTTAGGCAGCACACCTGATTTACTTTTTATACGCGATCGCTACCAAATTTTCATTATAGAGCTCCTTTATCTAAGATTTGGGTGAGGGGTGGCAGACAGGGGAGGGAGGGAGCGTGGAGTGGATGAAGTTTTTTGCTATGTTCGTGAAACCGGAGCATAGAAATTTTTAGAAAATTGAACTTTCGTCAAAGCAAAGAAAAGTCATTTTTTTTCTCTAAGAGAAATATATTTCTCTCCTCTCTACTAATTGTTCGGCCAGTGTTGATGAGCCCTTGGAGATGTGGTTCATCCTTTACAAGGGAAAACATATTTTTCTTCAAAAATAATTTCATACTACTCATGTAATTAAATGTAAGATATTATAATTAGAATCTTTTAGAAAAATATTGTTCTCTCAACCAAATAGACTCTAAGAACTACAAACAATTAAGAACAAAGACTAAAAAAATTACATAATAGATTAAAATTTTATTTAACCTCGTGCGTCGCACGGGCTAAAAATGCTAGTTAATTCAAAAACACAAATACAAAATTACGTCGGAATACGTAATAAGTTATTTAGACATAAATAGGAGTTCAATATCACAAATCGCGCCATCGCATATCTCTTCATTCTTGTTGCCCTCCAGCTAAGGCGACATGGACTACTTAGAATTATATGTATCTTAACTATATCTTGAATGTTGTAAGCGATGCCCTATATGCAATCTACTGCAAAGTAGAATACGCGATGGATCTTTGGATTACACTAGCCAAAAAATAAAAGGTTAGTGAGAAGAAATTCATTATCGCTAAGGTCATGGGTTTAAAATGTTGGATTCTAAATCCATGGTTTGACAAGCTAAGGAATTGTAACATATTTTTTAGAGATGAAGAAGGCATGGGAGTTAGTGAAGTATTTCAAGTCGCGACGATCACTCACGTCCTTTGATCCTGTCAGCTTGGGATGAGTTCTAGAGTTATCTCAAACTCAATCGGAAAGAAATGATTCTTGAGCAATTTCTTCTCTGTCCTCATATATGTGAAGAAGGTTTTAATCATGAGAAGAAAGGGAACGCTGCTAAAACTAATGTGGTGGAGCATCCTCTAAAGAATAATCCTCATATTTTGTCTCCGTCCTATGCTACTCCTTTCGTCACCAACAATTATCATGCACTAGCTACTCTGTTATTGTGATCAACGAACCTTTGTTTTTCCTATTTTTTAATTCGTTCGTAATACTCTAAATAATTTATAAATTCAAAGTTTAATTTTACTTTACATTACCAGGCCGTCCATATGCCCTCTGTGGTAACCAACAGGCCCGCCCAATCATTATAGAAGGTCATGTACAAATGAGCAACTTAAGCCCCTGAGATAAAAAGAAACAATTCAACAAAAAAAATTGAACCATTTAAGATGCAAAAATCACCTATCAAATCAATTTAACACACTTAGATAAATATTCAAACAATGCTAAATTAAAATATTGGTGCAAAAAACACAATTGAGATATTTTGATTTGCCTTTAAGTTCAAAAGTATTTACAAATTAGAAATGCTATAGTGACAAACAAAGAATCTACAAAAATCACAAACTTAGTATATTATTAAGATCTCACTAGTCAATATGAACAAGATGCACTCAAATAATTAAAAATATATAAAATTAAAATCACAAAAAGCACATTTATAAATTTTGTGAACTCTTTGTTTGTAACTAACATTTCTTTTCACAAATGAAATTGTAATGTCTACAAAGTAAAAGCTGAAAAAAGGGAACAAAAAATAGTTTTTAACGCCTAAAAAATATAGTGCCAAATAAATACTGAGTAATCTAAAACTGAAATTGTAATTTCTTATTTTTTTTTTCTTTGTTCAATCCAGGGAAAACATATTCTTTCAAAAATTAATTTTTAGAACAGTAAAACAATGAAACAAATCAAAATAGGTTAAAAAGAGTTGCAATGAAAATCAATTAGAGTAATTAATAGTTGATCATTGACAAAAAAAGAATAAAAATCTAAAAGTATAAGTCATGCGATTGAGGAGTTCCATTGACAAAAAATAAATTGAATTAGGAAAAAAAACTAAAGCAGAAAAATCAAGAACTCACCACTCCAGAGGAGAAGCTGAGGAACTTTGCGTTCGACTAGGGGGAGCCGCGGAGGAAACGATGAGGCGGAACACTGAATAGTCCTTTCTTATTAATTATTGGGCTTGAGTAATAGAATAAAACTAGTAATGGGCTAAAGATAAAATTAAAAATGGGCCCTTATATTTCGGAGGCCTTGTGCAAGTGAACCTAATGCACTTGCTTATGGGCGGGCCTGGTAACCAATATAAATTGTCAACAGGGTGTTTTGCTATAGCAAAGTGGTATGATGTTGATAGTTGATAAGGATGTTAAAAAAGATTGGTTAGAGTTTGATTTCTAACCATTAAAATAGGATTGTAGGAGGCAACCATGTGGAATCAGATCAGATCAAAAACATCTCTAAATATAACTACTTTCAAATCAAATCAGATCAGAACTTATTCCAATCAGATTAAGTGATGAAAACAAACCCTTAATCATTTCAGAAAAATGAGCCTTATTTGAAGAAAAAATGATTTTCCATTTTTTCACCCACAAACATTCTCCACCTTTCTACTTCCTAGATTGAAACTTGCCACAACAAAAACTACTCCGCATTTCTTTTCTCTTTTTCAAAATAGTTGCATGGAGTAATTCAAAGTTTATTTCCCAAAACTTTGAACCAAACACCATAAAACTTGAGACTAATAAAAAGAAGTAATGAGCGTCTTTCATTTTGAGTGCTACTATAATTTAATGGTCTTTGCTATGTGCACACTAGCTTATACACCCCACACACAACCATTTTTGTTCCTATGGGAGAACAAAAAAATAGGAATTTGTGTAGCATACATGTTGGCGTATGCAACTTTGGTGTTCAAAAAGCAAAAGCATTTCCCTGCAATATGAGGGAAACCGGGAAATCAAATCAGGTGATTCATACCCAACTGCAACATCATTTCTCACTTCAATTCATATGAAAAAAGGGGGTTAAATGCAACCTGTTTTTTCTCGTACAAATGCGGAAGTGTGTATATATCTGTGTTTCCTGTGACAACTATAATGTTCTTCAGTCGAAATATATAAAAAAAAATTTATATATATTCCTAAAAGTGTACTGCTTACTCGTACATGTCTTGATAGCAAAACTGCTGTGGAAGAAGCACATATTCTTTGGCACTAAAAGAACAGTAAAACATTTTTTTTTTGTGTTTATAAGTTGCCCATACACATTGCTCTCTGATGATGATGAAGGGAAACCCTCACAGCAACATCTTCATCACTGAAGTAATTTCCCTGGTGTGGATGAGAGGGCAAGCCAAAGAATGAAGAATGATAATCATTTGAAGAAGCATTATTATGCCTGCAAGTCCTTGCTTGAATTCCAACCGGGGGATGATTTGGCACTATCGGCTAGAATGCCACCTTTTTCGGCGTTTATCAGAGGATCAGATTCGTTTTCCTTTGCCTTCAATTGCACATGAGATTGATATATTATATCGAAGTCAGAGAGTTTTTTTTGGACATATAAAGGAGAAATGCAAACCCTAGAGTTTTGTTTTTTAGTGCCCCATGTTTTACCCAAAGACTTGACTTTGCCCCAATGTTTGGTTTTTAACCATAGAGGCACAGAAGTGGCAGAACACCTAGAAATCTGGAATGGGTTGTGCACAGTATAATGGAAATGACTCACTCTATGTTGCAAACTTAAAGGAAATAAAACATGGGGCATAAAGTCTGTGGAGTGCAATCAAAGAAAGTAGAACATGGATCACAGGTCAAATATGAGGGTAAAACATGAGATACATATGCCATATTTCCTTTGGAATGAAGGTCGTAATGTTGGTGATGAAAAATAATGGTGGAAGTACCTGAGACACCTGTGCTGATGCTTCGCTAGCCTTTTGCTGGCTCTCAATAGTGCAATAATATGAATATACTACCATTCCGACAACGGCAACAAAGATACCTAGGATGTTCCGCCAGCTGAAAGGGTCGTGAAGGAGAACATATCCAAAGGCTAACACAAGGCATGTTTTCAAATGTCCTAATACTTGGTATGTCACTGGAGATGTCTTCCCAATTACAAGAAAAGTACTGAAGTTCACAGAAACTGATATTAAGCAAGATAGAACAATGAACGCCTGCCAACAGATTTTAAAGTGTTAATTGATTTTGCAGTAATTATAAGCATACAACGAAGATAGGACTGAATGAATTGTATCCCTTACCAGCACTTTTGGAGTGTAGTTGAATGCGAACACATTTTTATTTGTTAACAGCCCATCAACAAACGGCCCAGTTACAAGCAGAGTAATTGCTTGATAAGGGCATGATTGGTAAAGAAGCTGTGTGGAAGAAACCTTGAACTTCTTCTGGATGGTATTAGTCATCTGGGTGAGACTGGTTAAGATTCCCAAAGAATTGGCATGGAACAAGAACAAGAGACATGTATAGTAACATTTCAACCATGACAGACTCCTAATTGTAAGTGATATTTGTATGCATACATATATATATGTATGTCAGTATATGTGTGTCTAATGGTTAGTCCCATATTTGTAATTTCATGTCGGTCATGATATTTTCATGCTTAAATATTCAATGATGATGATAGTTTTAGAAACTTCAATGCATAGTTCCTTATGAAGGTTGTGATGGGGCATAGGCCACAAAGCATTGCCACAATATGCTTTATGCAAGAATTTAGTGTTAATTAATTTAAACAATTAATTGGCACCACAAATTTAATGCCAAATTGCCGAAGACCCCAACTTGTTGGGATTAAAGGGTTGATAATGATGCTGAAGTGTGTATAGAAATGGTGGTTTGGAAAAAAAACTAATGCAAGCAACGTCTCCTGAGGATACAATCTGTGCAATGCAAGTCGTGATAATGGCAAGCAGAGATAGAATAGAGCCCAACAAGTTGAGCTGTAGATCAGTAACTGTTGCAATTCCAACGCCAAATAGGAGGATAGCCAATGCAATCTGGACATTCCTACTGCAAAATCGTAGAAAGGTGGACATTAATGAACAAACTTGTTACTCAATGCACACAGATTAGGCTAAAGTGGCTAAACAGAAATGCACAATATATCAGCAATTTCATAAATAATAAAACCCATAGTATAGGATTAACAATAACCTCCAATTCCATTAGACTCTAGATGCATTGCTGTATTTACTACCCAAAACTTCATAGAGAGTAACAAGCAAGGGAAGTCTATCATGCCTTTAGTGAAATCTTGTAATACAGTAAGAGACTTAGAGCTCCCTTTTTGAAAATCAAAGAAAAGGTAGTCCACCTGAATTGCTTCCTAAAGAACAGAGTCTGCAAAAGAACCGTACAGGGGATGATTGCCAATTTTGTCATCTACAATTAATAAAATATATAAGAAAGAAGTCAGTAAGACAAACACATGTTCAACGAAACACCAAAACTTAAGAGTATCATGCCATCACCATTGAAGGAAAGAGAGTATAGACACTACATAGCAGGGCATTCATCTGTTGGAACAAAAAATGGCCAACTTATCTGGGTGGGTGGGTGGGGGGGGTATGGAAGGGTTTTGTTGTATTGCTGGGCTTCTAGGCATAAGATATGCTATCTAGTAGAGAGGGGGGGGGAATATCTAGTATATATTCAATAGAACAAGCACAGTTCTGTAAATTATGATGGTCATTAAAGTAACCAGACTACCTAAGGTCCTGTTTCATGAGGAGTAGTTGTAAGGATTTAGGCAATCCTTCTGATTAATCACACTGATTCTTTCTTTTGGAAGCAAATCATATGGAACTATGGAAGCCCTCTACGAGTGGTTTATTTATTATATCCTCTGCCTATAAAGAGGTATGTCTAAAGAGACCTAAAATTGTTTTTCAGCAGTGCATTTTGAAATCCCATGTTTGAATCACGTCTCTATTTTCATGTGGAGGTTCTAGCTGAATAACTCTGCAGAGGCCAGATCTGATCACTTTCAATTCAGATATGCATCGGTGCAACAGGTTCAGGCTTCTGCTTTTAGAATCACTATTACATATTCCCTCACTACTTGACAAATTTGTCATCAAGACATCAATGGTGGCTGGAGTTGAATTATTTGACATTGCTTCACTCGCTTATGTCATTCATCACAAGTATGATGTGTTAAGGAGATGTGGAAAGCTAATAAGAAGGCTTTTTAAGAGAGAGAGAGAGAGAGAGAGAGAATGAACAGTCAGAGCCAAGATCTATATTCACAGCATGTTTTCCGTGGAGTTGATTTAAAATCAGTGTGTAAAGTGTGCTGATGAAGCTCATATTTTGCTAATATTGGATTTTTCTTGATCTCACTCTATAGCCTACTTTGAGCGAGATTTGTCTTGGGCCCTGTTTTTTTAGGTAGGAATTTCAGAGTTGGATATTGGAAGAAACAAGAACAAGAAGTTGGAAAATGTTGGAAGAATTCAAGTGTTAAAATCACTCAATTAAATGATCACCCAAATAAAAATGTAAGAAAACTCTAATTTTAGATAAAAAGTAATTCATTCATGTCTGTGCTTGAAGTGGTATTTTATAAATTTTGATATATAATGTTATTGTATATCCATCATATATAAATACCTTTTTTGAGTCGTTGTTGGAAGAAACTGGAAGAAGTTGAAAGGAGTTGGAAGTTAATTTTTCCAACCCAAAAGAACAAGGCCTTATTATGTTTATTTTCTTAGCTTTCGGAATTCTTTCCACTCACTCGTTGTGCTGTAATTTCTGATATGGGAGGTTTACCCAATTACATTAGGTCGTGTACCACCTTATTTCCCATTAATTAACATCCTCGTTCTTTTGGTTACGAAAAAGAACTTCCCACCCATTGACCTGAACCATAATGCCAATTTGGCAGCTACTTCTCACAATGATATAAAATAGCAATATACCCTTCTAGAAGAAGAGGTCTCTCGCGTAGGCATGTGATTAGTATAGCAACAGCATTCATAAACATTTATGAACGCAATTTTGTACAATGTAGAAGTGTGAAACTGCTCTAATTAGAAAGAAATGAAGGATTTACCTGATAAAAGCCAACAGAATTGAACCCTAGACTCAGATTGAGAAGGCCAATGGAAGTCCCATTCAGCACTCCGAATCCCATGACAGCTCTTGGATCAAAAGGCTTGTGCTCAAAAAATTTCATCCATAGTGCCACGTGAAGGGAACAAAACGTGACTAGAAGATGCCAACTTGTCAAAGTTGTAGCTGGCGAAATAAGCATTGATATTAGGAGATAAAATTGGGATCTTTTAAAGGTATTATAAATCATGATCCCGTCCCCCGAGAAAAATAAGAATTCCATGATCCTCAAATTAAAATGAATTCAATAACTATAACTTTTCTGAATTAAACAGTTATTTCAATCGAGCACAACTATTTCCTACATACATTAAATCCAAATGCCCCACAAAGGGAGTTTTGGGGAAAGACGACAAGAAAAACGAAAGCACTTTCTGATTTAAATAAATCACTTGCACTACTGGTAAACATTCATATCCAATGATGATTGGCTATCACGAAGCGAGCAAATTATATTACGGAGTAATATTTTTAGAACGAAAAAAACAAGAACAAAGAGGATCCAAACTCACCAAATGTGAAACCAAGGGAGCTGATAAGGGCCTTGTTGCAAATCACAATAGAGACGGAAGACACCACCGACAAGCTGAGCGCACCAATTGTCCCCAGCTGAAACCGTTGGCCTTCGCTCATCTTCTTCACACGCTCTTTTCTAATCTCCAATTTCAAAATCTACACAGATCACAATAAAACACATCTGTCACTTCCAATTCCTTTACTGAATCTCGTTTTCAAACGGAAAACTTGTCTTATTTCACCCGCACATTCAAAAACAAAATCCATGGAAGCAAAAAACACAAAACCAGCTTGGGGAAAACGCCAAAAAGAAACCCAAAAAAATAAAGAAAATCAAAACGATATGTTTCTGCGCAAAAAAACAAAAAAAAAACAGAAAATCAATTAGCATTTTATAGCAAAAAAACAAAAGCAAAAACAAAATCCACACCGGCTTAGCTCTGCGAAAACCCTAGATCTGCAACTTCAGGTCCAACTCCAGATGTATGTTACTCCGTATATCGTTCTTGTGGAAGTGTCTATAAATATAAGAGCAAATGCTCGCTACATATATACATGAATGTGTGTCTATATATACACATCTTCTCTGTGTGATATGCATACAGTGAGAAAATGCAATATAAGAACCTGTAGGAAATCCTTGAAATCATTAATGATATGCAGCTGCAGCTTTCAGATTTAGCAACTTTTGAGGGAACCAAAATGGTAATAGTGTGAAAACAAAACAGAAAAAGTAAATAAATAAAAATATCTGAAAGCACAAATGATGCACCATGGCTATAAAAACATTCAAACCCTCTTTTGTACGAGTTTTGAGGTTAGTATTAGCGTTTTTAGAATTAATCAATACCGTTAAAATTTTATTTAAAATGTTAATGCTAATTGAAAATTATCTTCTCATACAAGACCTCGGTCATGTAGAATTTATAAATAAATTGAAAAAAAGTTATACCTAACACTAAATAAGGGTGAAGGATATACATAGTATTCATATCTTTCTTACTACATTATCTCTCTCCACATTTGGGACATCAGATTTCACTAGTTTCATACTTTTTTTTACTATAAATGGAGGTGTACGTATGCCAATTCGCTAAATTACTACAACTATTTTTTAATAATTAACTTTAAATGATGAAAAACAAAAAAAAATTACTACAACTATTTTTTAATAATTAACCTTGAATTAATTTTAAAACATACAAACCAATAAAAAATATTTTTAAAAATTAGAAACCAAAATAACATTACCGTTTAATTAGAATTGGAAAAAAAACACAAAAAGTACACAAATAAAATATAACGCGTTGATTTTTTTAAGAGAGAAAAAAAATGAGATTTTGAAAGGATCGAGTGACATTTATAATGGATGTGAAATAAATATACACTTTGTTTGTATATTTAGGTTGTAATTATTAATTAAAAACAATTTTTTAAATATTTTGTATACAGTAGTATTTTTATAGATAAAGAGAAGAGAGAGAGGGATGTCTTATGTGTTATGATGGGTAAACTTATAAACTAACTTGCTGATTTTGCCACATAGGATTTTTTTGGTACCAAATTCCATTTGCTGAATTCATACCGTAAATTAAATTAATTATAGAGTTGTGCTTTCATTATCCCAAAATCTACGTGAAAAAGGAATCTGTTATTTTTTTCAAATAGCCCAATTGAGTCAATTCATGCATGATATTTATATATTAAAATTTATAAAATGAATGTAAACCTTAGGATTATAAAAGAATTTGTCGAAGTCTGAATTTTTAACTCGTTCATAATATTTGCAAAACCCACATGCATAGCATTATCATTCTTTTTCGTATTTTGGAACCTGGGTTGTGTCATTGCTCTCGACCAGCTAAGCTACACCTCTAAGCAATCAAGCACACTCAAGCACTCATATAGAATTTATGTTTGTGATTAGAGTTATTGTTTTTGTCATGAAATTTATTTTTTTTTTGAATTCTTCATAAAAATTAAATTTAAAAATAATTAAATTGAAAATTATCGATGAATTATACGGAGTATTCCGTATTTTTATAATGTTAAAACCCAGCGATATATAATTACTCCGTAAAAGTTTTGTCAAAGAAAGCCTAGTGGTCAATTTATGACTTTTGTTTGTATACATATATACTATCTCCGTCCCTAAAAGATTGTCATAGTTTGACTTTTTTTATTAAGCTGTGGCACCCTTTAATTGCAAACTATGGAAAAATAAATTTAGTTATAATGTAAATTTAGTAAAATTAGGTTTATTTTAAATTATATTTTTGAAATATCAAAATTTTATTATAATTAATTAATATAAACTATATTTAATTTGTGGTCCAAGGACCAAGCATGTTACAGTTTGACTAAAAAAGTTAAATTGTGTCAATCTTTTAGGGACGCAGGAAGTATTAAGTCATAGTAAATTTTATTTATTCCTAAAAAGTCAAAGATAATGTTAGGTCTAACATTCGATCCATATATAATGCTATATCACGCTTCGTTTACATTTAATATATGATTTAAGATTATATGAAAAAATAATAACAATTTAATTAAAATTGGATTTTAATTCATGCATGGCTTTAGCCTACTCATGAAATCTTTAACTTAAGGGAACTACAATAATCATTATAGTGTATCTACATCCATATATGCATTTACACGTTTCATAACCAATTAATAATGTTTTATTGTTTCATAATCGCGTAATTAAGACAATATGACGACGATGGAGGGTGGGACACAACCTACTATCCGTACATATTTTGAGGTTGAATCTCACATAGTAAAATATTTTTTTATATGTTTCATTGGACTTGTTTTTAAATTAATATAACTAAAGATTATGTTTTAAATTAATAATTTTTTTAAAAAAGTTAAAGATTATATGTTCCATTCGTCCCACAATGATTTACACTCTTCGTTATTCAAAGACTACGAGAACTTTTGTTCATTGATGTATTTTCTAAAACTTTTGATAAAATTTTTAAATATACAAATTTTGTATCTTAAATCCATACATATTTTCAAATAAATTGAATTAAAAGTAAGATTAATCAAATTTTGTAAACAACAACAGACGATTTAAATTAGACGGAGGGAGTAATAAAACTTACCTTTATTTCAAAAAAAATAATCCATGTTAGAGTAAAACATCCTAATTATGGAATTTCTTTTTGAAGTCATTGTTTACTACACCTACCTATATTTATGAAATTTCTATTTGTAGTTATTAGATGCATGTCATTATGATAATTCTTTTTATAGTTACGTTTTAATTTATACTCCATATGAATTTAATTTTTTTGGGGGGTGGAATGAAATTTCTTTTTTGTAATTATATGTGAAACATTATTGCAGTGAAAGTGAAGTTCTTGTTTAACATTTACCGAGTACATTTTAAATTTCATCCACTCGTTTCTGTATTGTTATTATCTACTCCATAAAATAATATATTCATGTCATCTCTTTTAATTTCTCATAAAATTTTCAAAGTTGTTTACACACACATACTCATTCTTTTAAGGATACACACAAACATGTGTGTGTGTATTACACAAGTTATCAAATAAATTGAATTAAAAATAATTTTTATCAAACGATATCGTAAATCATAACGAGAACTTCATTTTAAGACGAATATAGTAATAATTTCCATATACATAGAACCAACAGACTTGTTTTAACATCATGTTTTGATGTCATACTCTCTCCGTTCCACAAAACCCTTCCGGTTTTGACTTTGTAGAAAAATAAGCAAAGTGAAATTTTGGTTGACTTTCCAATTTTGCCCTTGATGTGATGGGAAAAAGTAAGATGTGATAGTTTGATTATTAGCGAAAAAGTATGATGTGATAGGTAGGGTATGAAAAAGTAAGGGTAAAAGTGGTTTTTTAATAGAAAGCGGAAATGTTTTGTGGAAAGCAAAAAAAACAAAAGAGGAAGGGTTTTGTGGAACGGAGGAAGTATAACATTGGAGCCTATATAAAGTCCGTTGGGCTTAGGACCAGAACCTACCCTAACTCTCTCGCCAAAAACAAATCTCTTATTCTATATTAAAAACATGAACAATGACGATGTAAAAATGGAATGTCACACGATGACATGGAATATTTTAACCAATAAAAAATAGTCCAATCAGCGTGTGGCAAGTGAGTGCAGTGGCAAGCTTTACAGTGGCCATTCATTATTTTATATCACTTTTTACATTTTTAAAATGTTTTTTAAACATAAAAAAATATTTTTATTATTTATTTTATCAAAAATTTATTCTACTTTCTTATACATTTTTTTCATAAAAAACTTATTAAAAAATATAAATAAAAAAAGAAAAGAATGGTGGAGTGCCACACCCATTACTCACCGAGCAAGACATTTTGTCCTTGCCATGTAATGATATGAGAGGAAAGAGTTGATGTGACAGTGCAAGACATTCCTCTTCCTGAGTGCACACGCTCTAAAATGTCATAGTAACAAATTGTAAGAGCATTGTAAATGGTCGTGAAGCTCTGGATCTTCAAAAATTCTCTCTCTGTCACATCAGTTTTAACTTATAACAAAATTTCACAAGAAATGAGTTTGAAGCCCTAGGACTTCAAACTGGGGCTTCAAACCTCTATTTTTTACAATTTTGAATACACATCTTCTAGAATTAAGTTAATAACATTTCCTTTTTAATTAAATTTAAATGAAAATAATTCATTAAATAAAAAACACATTCAATAAAAATTACATTAATAAAATAAGATTTGAATAAAAGAAACACAAATAAAAAATAAAAATTACATTACATTACAAAGAAATTAGTGATTATTCGAGCGAATAAAAATGTATTCAATCAAACCCGCCGTTAATTTATTGTGAATTTTTCGACTTTGGATTTCTTGGCAGTTTTTTCGTTTCTTTTCTTCATTGATTCTTTGTAGTAGGCACTTCTTCATCTGGGATGTAATGACATATTACAAACTCGTTGCTCTCTATGATCATATTATGAAAAATAATACATGCGTACATGATATTTCAAATTTTGGTTTGAGAATAACACTTGGACGGACGATCTAGAATGTGTCATTTACCCTTCAGCACCCCGAAGGCTCGTCCGATATCTTTTCTCGCCGCCTCTTGAGCTTTTTGTAGGTCTAGCATCTGGATATAATCTATCCGCAAGATAGTATCCATGCTTGTAAAAGATCCCTCTACGCTCAAAAGACGAGTCGGGTGCAGTCTCATTAATCCAATCGTCAAAACATGCGATGGATCAAGAACATTGGTGTGGTTCGAGCTCACAACACCAAAAATAACATGTCAAAACCACAAGTCATTAGAAGCGCCAGTTTCGAGTATAATAGTAGGTTTGAGATGATTATCTAGGAGAACTGACCATGTCACGCAGTGGACAATTTTTCGATTCCCAATACGTGCAATCAGTGCTTCCAAGCATGCTGACAAAGCTGTGTTCAGCAACATGCCTAACCTGTAACTACTCAATGTCGCTCGATGTCAGCTTACGTCAATACTTTTTATGATAAAGTCGAATAATAAGTTTAGAAAATTTATAAACACATAACACGATGCTTTGAGCCGACATCTTCAAATCTTGGTCAAACATATCAGATGCCATCACGTATGACATATGACAAAGCACGGCGGTACACTTCTGGATGCTGTCCGCTCTGGCTTCTCGCATCAAAGTGTTGGGTGAACCAAAGCACCTCGCATTCAATATCGACCAATATGCGTAAAAAAGAGAACACATCCAAAAATGATTACTAAAATCTTCCAGTGTGTAAATGCACGGAATATTGAAGTAGTCGTTGAATAGTGAAGCGTGTGCCGCCACCCACTCACAGTTTAAACGCTCATGTCGGATCGAGCATCGCGACGATTCCATTTCTTCTCGTTGGCCTTGTCGCCACCATTGATAACAACCCGACGCGGAACATCGAAAAATGAGAGCTCTCTTTTCATCGTCAGATGATGATTCAATGTTCCAAATATTTTGTAGAGAAGATTAAAAGAAATTGAGTATATTTTAAAACAATTATAGAGGGAATGCGAATATTTCTAGTGTGCTTGTTGTGTTAAAAATAAAGGTATTTATAATATTGAAAATATAATTTTTTTAAACAATGTCTAATGGTATTATAGGCGTTTGGGACACCAACAGCCCTCTCCCTCTTTCTCAACATTAAACGCTTAACCAATGAGAAGTGACACCCATATAACGCTTCAAGGGGGCGGTGTTTAACACTCCTAGCGTTTTGGACCCTTAGTAGTGCTCTTATAATGTTAAGAAACACATACAATCACGAATATAACTCACTTTCTTAACCAAATTAAAAAGGTTTAGAAATAACTACGGAAAATGTTTCAACTCTGAACAATCATACACCATGGACGTGAGTTTCGTATAAACTACGAAGAACTAACATTAATAACCAATGGACAGGACTATGTAATTTATAACTATAGATTAGAACATATATTTCAGAATAACTAGAACAGGGTAGAATTGGCAAGAAAGTGAAAAATGAAAGGAGATGTCATAGATTCAAACACATTTTACCTCCAACAAAAAAGCCACCCACAATACCAAAGAATCTAAATTATGAAGTAAATAGAAACAAAGATGAAACAACTTAAAATAGTACTCCATCCGTCTCAAATTATAATACTTGTTTACTATTCACAGATCAAACTTCATACACTCTCTTTCTCTATTTTCGTTAGCAATTTAATAAAATAAAATACAATTGTCACTACTAGTTTTATACATCTTTTGATGTAGTATTTTAATATATAATTTTTATTTTTTAATTGTATACCATTTGCCATATAAAATGATTTGAAAATAATTTCAATGAAACATCATAAACTAAAACAGACACTATATATTGGGACAGAGGGAGTAGTAAACTGGGGGCAATGAAATATTTTGCAACGAGTGCTAGGTAACTAATTTTTCTAGGTAACGAGTGCTAGCATGCCTAAATGTGATCCTTATCACGACCGATAAGGAAAAGAACAAAACAAACAAGAAATAACCTTCATCCAAATGTACCCTACCCTAAGAACAAAGAATATTTGGAAGATGCATTGAAGCATCCTATGCAAAACAGAAAAGAGAAGATATGGATGAAATGCCAAGTAAAGACTACACAAACACAAACATCAAGGAAAAGATAGGCTTGTATGATGCAAGAAAAATTGCATGCAGAATTTCAAGGACAATGGAACAGCAACACATAGTGATCATATCAAAAAAATGGCATTGCTCAGACGACAACAAAGAAAAAAAGACGGTTAGTCTCTCGAATAAGAGCAAAGATCACATAATATTAAAACAAAATAGATTACACTCAGGTCATTCTCTGAGCAGCTTCCTTCTGAAGAAGCCTTTCCTTTGCCTTTGTCTTGGCTTGGGATTTTGAGCCCATGATTCCACCTCCCCACTTCTTGCGGTTCTCTTCAAATTTATCATTGAAGTTGGCCTGAAAAGAGACAATGATATGAAAACCAACAACTAAATTAAATTAATAACTTTGAAAGTCTTGTATCTTTGCATAATTTCAACTGCTTTTACCTTAATTGCCTCTAAAATCTTGGAGAATTCCATCTTATCCTCGTTCTTGACTGAGGTCAGACATAGAACTGAAGCAGTCTTCTTGTGGACAATCTGAATAGTACAACAGCAGCACCATAAAAACATGAGAACACATATAAAGAGGTTGAATTGCATCATTTAACTTGACCCAACTATTTTGCTATACAATTAATGAGGGAGATCATCACTTGCAGTGTATTTGATTTGCCAAATATATCAGTATCACTTAGTTATAGGAGTGTGTTTTGGTATGTAAGGCAAAAATGCATCAATGAAGAACACCATAAACTAAACTATTTTGCTGATGGATTGAGATATTAAGTGCATGGGTCAATAATTAGGCAAATGATCATAAGATATTACAGATGTCCTCTTTCTAGGAACTCTAGTTAACAACAATACATCCATTGTTGCATTTTTTATGTGTGGAAGTAATAGTAGCTACAATGGTAAACTCAAAACCTAATCAATGTAATCATACGTTATCTTTTAACAAAGCAACGAATCCGATAACCTAAACCAAATTCTCCATACGAAGCACCAACGGTCAAAGTGGAAACAAACACAATATTGAGCAAAAGATGACACCAAATTTATAATACTCACCGCACCCAATCTTGCTTTTCCCTTTACGATGCAATATGGAATTTCCATTTTCCTGCACAAAGCTGGGAGCCAGACAACCAGCTCAATAGGGTCCACGTCATGTGCAATGACTACCAATTGGGCTTTATTCTGAAATTAAACAAATGATCTGATATGAGATAATATATTCAATATATTAATGGGAAAAAACATTGTTGATGCTTCAAGATGCCAAACCTGCTCAATGAGATAGGTGACATGCTTGAGCCCGTACTTGACAACAATGGGCTTCTTCAGTTCAGGAACCTTTCCCTCACTCTCAGCCTGTGCCCTTTTGAGAAGACGTTCCTTTTTGGCCGCCTTGTCCTCAGGCCTGTACTTGAGAAGCACCTTGAAGAGATTTGTCGCTGAAATGCATGAACGAACCCATCACCTTATGGTTCAAACCAGACACTCTTTCTGTATCATAATACTGGTCTCACTCACTATTTCAAACTCAAACTCTGTTTTCTTTCTTTGCATATTTCAGTTCATAATTTGTTAAAAAGGCATAACCATGTCTGATGCAAGCACATTTTAAACACTTTACCGATCAAGTATAATACGAAACAACGCAAAAACACAATAAATTGAAGACGACAGTGTGATAAGGAATCAAAACGAAGCATTCCAGTTCAACATCTGAAGAAGAAAAAAACAGCATAAAGGAGGAACCAGCAGACCTAGATTCTTATCAAGGGTCTTCGAGAACTGGTTGATTGCCGGAGGGACCTTCAAACGCTGCTTGAGGATCCTCCTTTTCCTCTGAATGTTGACAACTTGCGGCCATCGGACGAACCTGGAGAGATCCCTCTTCGGCGGCAACGCCCCTCCGATCCCGAATTGCTTCGGCCGCTTCTCGAAGAGCGGGTTCACCACCTTCTCCGGCTTCTTCTTTGCCACCGCCGCCCGAACCATTTTCACTTCCGCCGAAACCCTAAAACTCCCTTTCTATCCAGACCGAACGAAGCTTTATATCGTTGTGACATTTCCTTTCTCTTTTAATAAAAACTTCTTTCATAAAAAAAATACTCATAGCCCATTGGACCCTACGAATTAACACGACCGGGAATTATTGGGCCCGGCCCAAATTTAGAATCAGCTATGGGGTTTGCCACACAGGCCTAGAAGCAGTTTTTTGTGAAATTTGCACTAAATATGACTTAAACATAAATTATTTCTCAATGTAATACTTAAACTTTTTTATTCCTTAAATAAAACTTAATAATGTCTAGTGAGAACAATAATGCTCAAATGCTGGACATTTAGTTGAATAATGACTAATAGATTATGACCAATAGTTCTATATTGAGAAATAAAAGCATATGGTCCTATATTGAGAAAGTGATTATGTTTTAGTCCTATTTAGGTAAATTATTCTTTCTTTTACTCGAGGATCATTTATACAAAAACAAAATTTATGTCATTGACTAATTGTACTTTCAGTTATATTTGGTTCAAGATTTTTAAAAAAGAAAATTTTTTTACTCAAGAAATTTTTGTTTGGTTAGAGATGAAAAATAGAAAAGTGAAATGAAAAATGAAAATAAGCATGTAAAATGTATTAAGAAAACTAAACTTTTCCGGTTTTGGTTAAGTAATGTGAGAAAAAAAATAGTCTGAATAATAATTACTTTTGTTTGGCAAGTAATGGGTGTATTCCACCCAGAACCGGTCAAAGAAGACGCTCAAATACTCGACTGGTCGAAGTGGATTTTCCAGGATGGGAGACCTAAATCATCAGTAGAAGAATACTCGGTTGACCAAAAAGCTGACCGGTACACATCGGATAGTGTACCGGTCAACTTACTCTATCGCCTTATCCACTCCCTGAGTTTCTATCGACTCAACCCTTAGGAACTACCCGGTATGTATGTTTCCTAGGGTTAAAGGGTGTCGGCAAGAAGAATCCAAAGAAGCTTGGATTGTAGTGGCTAGAATCGCTAGAGGATCAATGGAGATGCTAAAGTGATCCGTCCGAGCCAATACGCGACAAGGGAGCAATCTCCCTCGTAAGATGACAAAGCAGCTAAAGGACGAAGGCCATCAACTCCCACCATCCAAGAACGTGCCTCAACGTGGGTGCATGACGTTTTGTCCCCTGAGTCTTAATATAAATACCGTTGTAATCTTCAAGGGAAGGGATTCGAATTCACTCTCTCTAAACTCCCTTGTAAAAGCTCCCGTGTATTCTCCTATATTTATAATATCAATTGGACTACAGGTGTTTCCACCTACAGTCCTCCCGGTCATTTATGTGTTTTTACCTTTTTACTTTCTGAATCAAGTAAACAATCCTAGACCCGGTCTAGTATAGTTTACCCGGTTAGGTAATTTACACCATCATTTTTGGCGCCGACTGCGGGACCGTTAAGGTTTCTCTTCGTCTAAACGCAAACCTACCCACAAAAACACCACTCAAAATGTCTTCAAGCCAATAAATCAACGATACTTCTGCTCAGGCGCAAGCCACCATTGAGGGGGTCAGCATCCCCATAGTAGTCACCCCACCGGCGAATTCTGCCTCTATGATGTCGCTGGGATTATCTCACATCCATACACCAAGCATGGCTACGCCATTCTCGATCCATGTCCCTTCCGTAGGACCAAGGGTCACCTTCCCGCCAAGCATGACCCAGTTCATGAATGACCCGGCGAAGCTACAAACTATTTAGGGCTTTGACCAGGTCATGGCCATGTGTCAACAGAATGGGGGGGTGCCATTCCTCCCAGGCATGTTTCCATTCGCTCTTCCCAGCGCTGAAACGATGCCCCTTCAAACTCCAATGGCAGTGTCGCCATTCTAGATGCTGGTACCACAACCATCACCTTTCCAGCCCCAACTGGTCAGTACTGTGGCTCCCGTCAATTTGACCGGTGCGCTTAATGCCGCTGGGTCATCATGCCCTCCGCAGGGTACAAATCCACAAATCACTCCTGATGGTCATTGCGTCTCTGTTGAAAGCGGTGACGATGAGTGGGACATCCCCAGGTCCCACGAGAAGAAGAAGGGAAAGGCCCTCCGACCAACAACTTCCCGAAACTCCGCCTTCAAAAGGCTTGGAGATAGAAAAGAGGGTTAGAGGAAGTTGACCAAGCTGAGATTAGGGCAGAGCGTTGCCCATGTTAGTGCGTTCGCCCAGTTAGGAGGGAAGGGAGGTCGAGCCTGCCCGTACCCAGCGCTCCCGGTCGAACCGGCAGGAGCCTGCGAGGACAAAGGCTTCCCGCCAGGAAGAAGAAGCGGAAAGTCAGCCCCGTGGACCGGTGGTTAATCGACTAACCATGTCGAATGATCGCGTCCAATAGATGGAGGCGAAACTGGAAAGGTTGGAGAAGAAAGTTGGGGAGAAGAGTGACCAGGATAAACCCCTTGCCGGGTCTCCATTCACTGCAAGGGTCCATCTGACACCTTTCCCGCGGAAGGTCAAGATAGACGCCCTGAGGTTTAGTGGGAAGGAGGATCCAGAAATCCACCTGGATTCCTTCAATTAGAGTGCAAGAATGAACGGGTGCACGGATGAAGAAAAGTGCCTCCTTTTCTACCAAACCTTGCGGAACCGATTTACTGAATGGTTCAATAAGCTTCGCCCAGGAAGTATTGATTCATTCAACGATTTGGCCTCGAAATTCAAGGCCAAGTTCTAGAAGAATTGTACCAAGAGAAAGAAGTTCACCTATCTCAGTACGGCCGGCCAAAGAGAATTTGAGAACCTCACTCAATTCCTTACCCAATGGAAAGAAGAGGTGGACAAGGTTGAAGAGATGGATGACAAAACGGTCTTGTCCCTCTTGTTGAATGGCTTATGTGCTAGGGAACTATACAAGGAGTGCTTCCGGAAACCATGAGCAACGTATCACGAAGCGTATCACACGACATGGGAATTTCCTAAGGCTGAAACACAACTCCGGGCGAAGAAAGAAGCTAAGCATGCTTTCATGCCGAAGCCGGTACAAGTCAAGAAGGAAGAAGCACCGAGACCTAGCTGGCCGAGGCATCACTATGACCTGGGCGTCCGTGTGGTCATTACAGAGGAGTGCCAGGAGATAAGGAAAGCACCGGTCAATCCTCCGGTAAATCCTACCAGTCAACCAGGACGACAATGGTCGGACACATATTGTTTGTACCATAGGTCAGATTCCTATAACATTTCAGAATGCAAAAGTGTTAAAGGCATCGTCTGAAAGATGATAGACAGCGGAGAACTGGGCAAAGATTATTTGCAAAAGGCCTGGGAAAAGAACCATCAATGGATCAGGCCAGCAGCCCAGGGGAATGACCGGGAGAATGATCGGCGGAGGAACAACCGGCAAAGAGCAGCCACCAGCCCCTGATAAGGAACACATTGGAATGATCTTTGGCGGACCTGAAGGTGGAGATTCGGCCGCCCGGCGGAAGAACTAGGTCTGCAGCATTTACGTCGGAGAAGTAAGTGCTGACCCAGTCAGACGAAAGCAAGCAAGGAGGGAACCAATTGTCTTCACCGATTGGGACCTTCTGGCTACCGGTGAAGATCATAATGATCCTTTGGTCATCACCATGGACATTAACGGGGTGGATGTCACCTGGGTACTAGTTGACACCAGAAGCAGTGTTAACATTCTGTACTTGGAGACTTTCCAAAAACTCATGTTGTGTCGGACACAACTTGAACCCCTGAAAACTCCTCTATTAGGATTCACAGGAGATACCGTGGAAGCTAAAGGATCAATAGCCCTACTAGTTGAACTCGGGTCGAGGGACAAAACCGTGCGGAAGAGGATGCGGTTCATTGTTGTGGACATCAAATGCGTCCATAACGCAATTCTTGGAAGACCGGGCATCAACGAAATCCTAGCGGTGATCTCCATGCCTCACTTGAGCATGAAGTTCCACACCCCAGGTGGTGTGGGAGAGGTAAGAGGTGACCAGAGGAATGCCCAAAAGTGCTATGCCCGGGCAGTGAAGAAGATGACGAAAGGAGTAAACGTCATTTCCCAGGAAATAACAAAGGGAGAGGCCAGGGGGAAACTTGAGCCCGAGGCTGAAACGGTGGAGATCGAACTCCACCCGAGTGATCCTTCAAGGACAGTCAGAATTGGAGCAAACCTCCCTGAAGATCTCAAGATGGAGATAACGCGGGTCCTCCAAGAATACGCGGGCATATTCGAATGAAGCGTGGCGGATATGCCTAGGATCGATCGCTCTGTCATTTTCCACCGGTTGGCTGTGAGAGAAGGATCTCGACCGGTACGCCAGAAGAAAAGATATCTGGTTAGCGATCGTCGAGATTTCGTTAAAAAGGAAGTCAAGGACCTCCTTAGCGTGGGTCACATTCGGGAAGTCAAATACCCAGATTGGTTGGCCAACGTGGTCCTTGCCCCCAAGGGTGACACATGGAGGATGTGTGTGGATTACACGGACTTAAACAAAGCCTGTCCGATGGATTTATACCCCCTACCCAGTCCAGATCAAATGGTGGACGAAACAGCGGGGTGCGAACTCCTAAGTTTCATGGATGCCTTCAAGGGCTACCACCAAATCTACATGGCCAAGGAAGATGAAGAGAAGACGTCATTCCTCACACCCGAAGGAACCTACTGTTACCGGGTAATGGCGTTTGGCTTGAAGAACTCGGGAGCCACTTACCAGCGCATGGTAAACAAACTCTTCAAGCCACTGCTGGGAAAGACTATGGAAGCATACATTGAAGACATGCTGATCAAAAGCCAGGTATCTCTCAACCACCCGGCTGACATGCGTGCGCCATTCAATATTATGGCAAGATACAACCTCTGATTGAATCCCAAGAAATGCGTCTTCGCGGTTCGTACCGGGAAGTTCTTGAGATTCATGGTGACCAGGAGAGGAATAGAGCCCAACCCAGAGAAAATTCGGGCTATCGCCGAGATGCAAGCCCCTACCTCAGTTAGGGATGTACAAAAGTTGACCGGTTTTCATGCGGCCCTCAGCCAGTTCCTGTCCCGGTCAGCTGAGAGATCCCTACCCTTCTTCAAAGTCCTGAAGAAGGCCAACACATTCACCTGGGACGAAGACTGCCAAAAGGCATTTGAGGAGTTGAAGGAGTACCTAGTGTCAGACATTGTATTGTCAAAACCCGAACCGGGTGAAACTCTGTATCTGTACCTAGGAATTTCCCCAAATGTTGTAAGTTCTGTTTTAATAAGAGATGGTGGGGCACAAAGCCCATTTATTATGTGAGCAAATCACTAAATGGAGCGGAAAGTATATATACGACGATGGAAAAGAGAGCCTACGCGCTTTTCATCTCCGCAAAGAAGTTAACATCATACTTCCAAGCTCACCTGGTTGAAGTTTTCACCGATCAATCACTAGGTGCAGTATTGCGAAATTCAACATCCTTTAGGAGGATGGTGAAATGGGCAATGATGTTAACTCAATTTAACATTGAGTAGCGGCCAAGATCAGCGATCAAAGGACAAGCCCTTACAGATTTTCTGGTGGAAATGACCGGTCTAATTACAGACCTACCGGTATGTCAGCCCACTGAGCAATGGTGGGAGATGGCCGTGGTTGGGGCATCTGGCCCTAAAGGATATGGAGGCGGCATAATGTTTACCACCCTTGAAGGATTCAAGATCTACTATGCGCTCGTCTTCAACTTCAAGTTGACCAACAATGAGGCAGAGTATGAAGCTCTTGCTGGAGGAATTCGACTTGCCCAAGCACTTAAAATCAACCGGGTCAATATAAAATCTGACTCTAGTCTGATTGTTGGGCAAGTGACTGGCAACATGGAGGCAAGGGAAGGACGAATGGTGCAGTATAAGGATATGGTGCTAGCCTTGTTGAAAGGCTTTGCAGAATTCAAAATAGCACAAATACCCCGAGCTAAAAACGTAGATGCATATCTTCTTTTGAAATTAACACAGTCTGCCCCGAACATGTTTCAAAATTTGCCCGGGTGGAAATTCTTGATCGAGCGAGCATCGAGAAGTTCGAAGTCATCATTATAGAAGCAGCAGGACAGTCGGGCCGATCAAACATGGTTGGGGCAGATGATCATTGGATGGATGATCTTCTGAAATACCTGGTAAGCGGGAGCTTACCAGAATAGGAAGACCGGGCGAGAAAAGTGAAGCTTAGGGCACCCCGGTTCGAAGTCATTGACAGGATGCTGTACAAAAGGGCATTTGGCGGACCACTCTTGAGATGCCTGACCAACTGAGAAGCCGAGTGAGTCATTGCAGAAGTCCATGAAGGTGTGTGTGCGGCTCATCAAATGTCTTGCACCTTATCCCAGCGTATCATATTGCTGGGGTACTACTGGCCAACAATCGTCTAAGATTGTGAAAGGTACGTTTAGAAATGTCGAACTTGCCTTGTATTCTACAGGTACCCGGGTAGACCGGAGACCTACTATCATCCCGTCTCGAATGTAATCCCGTTTGCTAGATTCGGGGTTGATATCATTGGAGCATTCCCAATTGCTCAAGGAAGAAAAAAGTTCGTAATCGTGGCCATTGATTACTTCACCAAATGGATCGAAGCTGAAGCGTTGGCCAATATCACCATGCAACAATGCAAGAAATTCATTTGGAAGAACATCATCACAAGGTTTGGAGCTCCCATGAATCTCATCACTGACAACGGCCCGCAATTCAGAAATCCAAGGTTTACAAAATACTTGGAGGGCTTCGGAATCAAACACAATCATTTTTCGGTGGCATACCCCCAAGGCAATGGCCAAGTTGAAAACGCCAACCGAACGGTTATGAATGGTTTGAAGAAACGGCTAGAGGAAGCAGGAAATAAGTGGTTGGAAGAACTCCAACATATCATATGGGCATTTTGGGTGACACCCAGGAGGGCTCATGGGCAAACTCCTTTCTCCCTAACTTATGGGTGTAAAGCAAGACTACCCATAGAGGCCGAGTTCCCAACATTCCGGGAATCAAATTATCAACCCCAGTAAAATGAAGAAGACCACTTAGTCGAACTCAACTTGGTTGAAGAACGAAGAATGGCCGCGGAAGTAAAAATGATCACGTACCAACAAGTTGTAAAAAAATACCATAACAACAAAGTTGGACCGCGATACTTCCAAGTCGGGGATGAGGTCTTACGAAGAGGGGAGGCCAGCAAACCAGGTGATGGAGGAAAGCTGGCCAAGAACTGGGAAGGACTTTATCGGGTGAAAGCTATTATTCGCCCAGGAACCTACCAGTTAGAAACTCTAGATGGTATACCGGTATAAAGAACTTGGAATTTTCATCATCTGAGAAAATTCTACAAATGATTGCAATATTGGGCGAGGCCTAACTATATTATCAAGCAATTGAATTGATGAAGTTCAATACCCTACCCGGTGGCAGCAGAAATGATGGGTCGAACCTATCCAAGGAGGGCTTCTCGGGTGGATCGAATCCACTCAGATAAGCCAACTGAGACACAGTCCCGGACCTGGCACGCTGGTTAATACACCGGTATTTCTCAGTATAAAATAAAAAAATAAACTCGGAAGAGGGGCCCCAGATAAAGGGTATGCCTGCAAGAAGGCTGGACGTAGAAGAAGGTTCGAACCGTACTTACACGGGCCCATGAGGTTTGACCGGTATCGGGAAATCAGCCGAGACTGTCAAACTGATTGGGGACTAAAAGATTCCCATTAAAAGAAATAGAAGAGGATCGTCCACCGTGATGCATCCTATTCCAACCAGTTCGGGTTCTCCCTTCTCAGGGAAGACTTGAACGGGAGGGTGAGCTAAGGCCTTCCCGGGATAGTAGATATCAAAGGGCCATTAAAAGACTTAATCACCCGGAAGAGAGGCCCTGGAAGAAGGGTGCATTTGAACCTTAGAGACGGTTCGAAGCCATTCGACATGGTTAAATCTCTAGTATTCTTACCGGTTAAGGATACTTCAAGAATATTCTAAGTTACAGGTGCTTCCATCTACAACCTACCGGTGAAACAAAAAATACCCCGGTTGGGTATTAATACAACGGAATTTCGAAAGTTCTTCAAGGCGAGTCAGTTAACCGGTTATATAGAGAGGACCTACCGGTTAAATTGAAGTTCATATTCATGTTGATCACCAAAAGGAGGATATTCAAACGATGAAGTTAAAGTCCTAACGGTAGCAGTTAATCAGAATAAGAAATTTTAAGGGGCAAAAGCAAAATAACACACAGAAAGCATTCGAAGGAGCAACGATGACCGGGTAAATCACCGGGGAAATTGGAAAGTTTTCAAGTTTTACAAAAGAAACTGGGCGTAGCCGGGATGATTACTCAAGGGGAAAGGGAGGAGCAGGCTCTTCATCCGGAATGGGGGCCAAGCCGCATGATTCAGCATTGAAGTGTAGATCCCGGGCAGCTAGTATCTCATGTGTAACTTCCCGGTCCCTTTTCTGACCGGACATGAAACTATAGGAGCTGATCTGAGTGATCATTTTCTTTCCATGTTCCTCCCGGTATAGCAGCTTGAAGCCCTCCATGGTTCTTTCTTCAAAGGAAGTGATTACCCGGGCAACTTCTACCAAATTCTCCTCCATCCACTGTTTGGCTCGACCGGGCAGCTCTTGCTCCTTCAGCTTCGCCTCCTCCTTTAGTTAGGAGACCTCCCCCATAAGCGTTGAGTTCTCCTCCTTTAGCTGGAGGATCTCCGCGTTCGCCTTCCTGACCACCCTTGAGAGGTTGGCCATCTCTTCGAGCTGCCGAGCCGTCAAGTCCTGGAGCTCCCGGTTATGGGCCACGGCCCTCTTCAGCTTCTCCTCCAACTGAGATGACCGGGAGGGAGAATCATCGGTGAGCTGCTCTAGGGCGTCAGGCCCAACCTTGTCCATCTGCGAAACAAAAGTATACAGGTTAGTGCAAGTAGACGAATGGCAAATTCAAAAGATTGTACTGGGAAGGTGTTACCTCTTTTAGCCAGCGCCCCATTTTCACCCAGAGCTCCTCCAGAGACTCCACCACCGGGACATTCTCTCCCCTTTTCCTCTTGGCCGCTGGATGGGTGGTGGCCACCTGCTTGGTCCTTGTTTTCCCTTTCCCTTTGTTGGGAGAAGGATTCACCGGGACCCTCTCGATCTGAGTAGCCCCCCGGTCTGAGGAGTTTCCTCCTCAGAGTGGATCTCAACAGTTTTCTGTTGGACCGGGATAGTTTTTGCAGAAGAGGTATGCGGGCCAGCGGAAGAAGACGCACCGGTCTTCTTTGGAATGCTGAAGAACCGGAAGTTCATGTCTGCAAAACGAGAAAGATTGTAAGTATTCAAACTATGACCGGTACAAATAAAGAAAGGAGAACTAGTAATGAAGGATACCTTGGTGACTCTGGTCCTCGACCTCTGTAGTGTTGCCCGGGGAGGATACCCTGTGCCCCGCTGCTTCATGGGCTTGGGAGGTACCCTCGCCACCTGGTTGAACCCTCCATACCTAGCTCCCGTAGTGATATTTCTGGCCGGTAAAGGGGTCCCCCTTCAGAAGCTTCTCCAGACTCTCTTCCAAGTCGGGAGTGGTTGCCAGTTCAGTGGATTCATGCTTGAGGAGGTTGTCTCTCCACCTCAAACCGGCCAGAGGAGTAACGAAGGGGGGGGGGGAATCTTATGAAAACAAATTTCTCCTTCCACAACTGGTTGCTTTGTGGAAGGTCAGAAATGAATTTGCGATTGGTCCACCCCTTGAATTAGACGAAACCTTTGCAACCCGGTTTCCCGGGACGAACCTCAAAGACGTAAAGGAAAAGACACAGAGAGGGATCGATGTGAAGATAGTGGCAAATATTTAAAAAGAAGTTGAGGAGCCGGTGGCCGTTGGGTGTGATCTGCCCGGGAAGAATCCGGAAGCAGTCACACACCTCAACTAAGAGGGGGTAAAGAGGAAAAAGGGTGCCACCCTTTAAGGAAGTGATGTGAAAGCCTATCCTATCCTCCCGGTGAGGTTAGTGGACGTGCTACCCGGGGATATGCCAGGGGTAGACCCCAAGGTCGTATGTCACCGCTTGGCAGTCAACCCGGAGGCTAGGCCGGTGAAGCAGAAGAAGCGGTTCCTCTCATCCGAGCGGAGGGAGTTTGTCTCCAAGGAGGTGGCCACCCTATAGAGCATTGGGCATATCACAGAGGTTAAGTACCCTGAGTGGATGACCAACGTGGTGCTGGCACCCAAGGGAAACATTTGGAGGATGTGCGTGGACTACACCGATCTAAACAATGCCTGCCCTATGGATCCGTTCCCACTCCCGAACATCGACCAGCTGGTGGACGAAACGGCGGGCTGCGAGTTCATGAGTTTCATGGACGCCTTCAGCGGGTACCACCAAATCCGGATGCACCCTAAGGACGAAGAGAAGACATCTTTCACTACCCCCGGCGGAGTATATTGTTATAAGGTGATGCCTTTCGGGCTCAAGAACGCCGGGGCGACTTACGCTAGGATGGTGAGCAAGCTCTTTGCACCCGTCCTCGGGAAGAGCATGGAAGCGTACGTCGATGACATGATTGTGAAGAGCAAGCAGGCGACCACCCATGCGGAAGACTTAGAAGGAGTTTTCAAGATTATGGAGAAGTATAACCTTCGGTTGAACCCGAAGAAGTGCACGTTTGGAGTTCAGGGTGGCAAATTCTTGGGACATATGGTGAGCAGGCGCGGTATTGAGCCCAACCCCGAGAAGGTGCGCGCCATCCTTGACATGGAAGCTCCACGAAATGTCAAGGATGTGCAGCGCTTGACCGGAAAGTTGGCTGCGCTCAGCCGCTTCCTTTCCAAGGTGGCGGACCGAGCCGCTCCGTTCTTCCAAGCGGTAAAGAAGTCCCGAGGGTTCGTGTGGACGGAAGAATGCCAACAATCCTTTGAATCCCTCAAGTCCTACCTCCTCTCTCCTCCGGTTCTCGCGAAGCCCGAAGCGGGGGAGACGTTGTACTTATACTTGGGAGTTTCACCCAAAGCTTTGAGCTCGGTCCTAGTCCGAGACGAAGGTGGAGCTCAACACCCGGTGTATTATACGGCGAAGACGCTGAGGGGTGCCGAGCTCAGATACTCAGTAGCCGAAAAGACGAGCCTCGCCGTGGTTTCAACCGTGCAGCGTCTAACACCCTACTTCCAAGCTCACCCGGTTCAAGTGCTCTCCCAACAGCCCATTGGTGCGCTGCTCAGGAGCCCGAACGCGCCCTCGCGCATGTCCAAGTGGGCGGTGTTCCTTGGAGCTTTCCAGATCGAATTCAAGCCAAGGCCGGCGATCAAGGGCCAAGCGCTAGCTGACTTCATGGTAGAGTGCACCGCTTGGGAGGAGCCGAGCCTGGAAGAGCTGGAAGCCAATGACTGGTGGATAGTTTTTACTGACGGCAACTCCGCCGCCAAAAACTCGGGGGGTGGAGTGGTAGTCATCGCTCCCGAAGGCTTCAGAGCATACTACTCAATTCGATTCGGTTTCAAGGCATCAAACAATGAAGTGGAATATGAAGCGCTCCTGTCGAAGCTGAGCTCGGACACGCCCGAGCATATCAGGCGAATGGCGAAAGTGGAAGAGTTGTCCGAGCCGAGCATCCATGCCTCCACTGTGGCAATGATCTGTCGCTTGTCCAAGAGATTGGATGGACGATATAGTCGCCTTCCGCCCTCCCGGATGATGAAAAAAAAAGGCCAAGCTGGTCCGGACTAGGGCACCCGGATACACTTTGGAGGGCGGAAACTATACAAGCGATCGTACATCTTTTCGGTTGAACTCAATGGAATGAAGTTTTTGCGAAAAGAGCTCGCTTGAACACTCGTGCTCGGCGCTCCTCCTCAGGAGGAAGGTCGAGCGCAGACCATACCCGGATGTTCTTCCTGGACGAAGGTCAAACACTCGTGCTCGGCGCTCCTCTTCAAGAGGAAGGTCGAGCGCAGACCATACCCGGATGTTCTTCCCGGATGAAGGTCAGACACTCGCATTTGGCACTCCGCCTCGGGAGGAAGGCCGAGCGCAGACCATACCCGGATGTTCTTCCTGGATGAAGGTCAGACACTCGCGCTCGGCGCTCCTCCTCGGGGAGGGAAGCCGAGCGCAGACCATACCCGGATGTTCTTCCTGGATGGAGGTCAAACACTCGCGCTCGGCGCTCCTCCTCGGGGAGGGAAGTCGAGCGCAGGCCATATCCGGATGTTCTTCTCGAATGGAGGTCAAACACGCATGCTAAAAATAATAACTAAAAAAACGAGACATAAAATCAAATTCATATCTTATTCATCCCTGAAAAAGGGGATAGTACACGGCGCAAACGCCTTAGAATGGACCGGTGGGCAAAGGCACCAAGGCCAAGGTTTGGGCAGAGCTCCACGAGGATAAAGTAAGCCCGCGCTCGCCCTCGGTTGGGCACCGAGACGAGTCGAGCACGTCTTTGGTAAAGCGAGCCCAAGCGTAAGCACGGCCCCGCATAAGCGAGCGTAGGCCATACCCGGATGTTCTTCCCGGATGAAGGTCAATACTCGCGCTCGGCTCTGTCCTCCTCATAATAATGGACGAGCGTATGCCATACCCGGATGATCATCCCGGATGAAGGTCAAACACTCGCGCTCGGCTCCGTCCTCCTCAAGAGGATGGACGAGCGTAGGCCATACCCGGATGTTCTTCCCGGATGAAGGTCAACACTCGCTCTTGGCTCCGTCCTCCTCAAGAGGATGGACGAGCGTAGGCCATACCCGGATGTTCTTCCCGGATGAAGGTCAACACTCGCGCTCGGCTCTGTCCTCCTCAAGAGGAAAAGGGGAAATACATGGCGCACACGCCTTACAAGAGTTAAAACATAGAAACGCATAAT